GACATCGAGCTCGTCGGAGCTCCTCGCCGGTGCAGAGGTTGGTATCCACCCCCAAATTAACATATACAAGGGCGTCTGCAATTTGTATGTCGCTGCGAGCTTCGATAGAGGGACAAATTACGAAGGGGTGGTACTTATTGACATTTTGAAAGATTATGGCAGGTTTAATGTTTGGATATGTAACAATTGTATCGTGATAGAGAGCGAGGATCATACGCTAGGAAGGGGCGAACGATTTAATGTCATTCAGGTTTTCTTTAGTTAGGGAGGTCTAACGCATATTGATAATCCTACAAGTATGATCAATTACATGTTTGATGAAAGCTTGATGGGGGTGAAAATGATAATTAAAAGCGTATAATATAATGAATACATTGTGAACTAGTATTTGGTGCACCTTTACATGCTTGTACTTGAATAAGGGCTCTGTTGTAAGTAATAATATTTAGTTTTTTAACTTTGATTTCCTTAAATGAAGAAATTCATTCTTTCATTTGGACAAGGAGTACTGAAATATGCCAATATGGTACAATCACATATCTGAAACATGCAGTGAATCAATACTAGTTTCATACAAGTTTACACTTCGATGCGTTGGAGCTCTTGAGCACCAAGGACACGCAATTATTTAGTAGCAATCAGCTATGATTGGTTGTTAAGGTTACATATTTGTTGTTAATGTTACAGTTTAGTTGTGAAGTTTACGGATTTGTTGTTATGGTTACGTATTTGTTGTTAAGGTTACAGATTGATGGTTAATCTTTTATTTCTCTCATGTGTAGTAGTAGTACTATGAATTTATTGACATCAAGAAGCCAGTATTGGGAAGGCCTCCCCTCACAAACTGGGTGAGACTGGGAGAAGTTGGGGGATCCATAAGAATGGTCACAATTGTAGCTAAAGCTTAGCAAGCTACTATAAAGCTTCTATAGATACAGGGCCAAGTTCAAAGACAGGAGAAGATTTTTAAAGAAACAGGGAGAAGTTGGGGGATCCAATAAGAATGGTCACAATTGTAACTAAAACTTAGCAAGCTACTATAAAAGCTTCTATAGATACAGGGCCAAGTTCAAAGTCAGGAGAAGGTTTTTAAAGAAACAGGGAGAGGTTTGCTAGGGAAGGAGCAAGAGAAGGAACTCTTCAATACAATCATTACAACTTATGAACAAACGCCTAAATGTGCCGTCATTATCGTCAATGGCAATACGGCTTCCTGGATTAGTGGCTAGAACCATGGATTCATATCTGCATAAATATAACAAGTAATAAGGTTAACAACCAATGCCTAAGGTTAACAATTAACTCATAATTTAAACAACTAACTCATAAAGTTAACAACCAACTCACAATCTTAACAACTAAATCATAACCTTAACAAAAAATAGAAAAATTATAATAAGATAAATTTTATCATCTCAGTGAATCGTTGCTTTGCCACACTTTGCTATATTAATCTTGATGCTTTATTGTGAGAGCAAGTTGTTCTTGATATCAATTGGCCAAAGATCTGACATAACCTTCAAAACAGTTTGTATCAATGAATTTGCGTGATACCCTTGAGTTAACCACATTAGCTTCATGTTGACAGCAAGTGTAAGCAGCTTCAAATTGCTTTATAGTCATAATTGAGGAATTACGGAGTGGGGAAGTAAACAACATCCAAGGGCAATCCAGCGTGTCCTTGAAACGACAATACACTCTTATACGTTTTGGTTCATTATGGTAAAAATCATACTCGAACATTTTGACAATTTAGTAGTATTGAAGTGTTAATCTAACTTCAAAGCACTATTAATTTTTGTCCATTTGCACGTATGGCTCTAAACCACTCAGCTGAGATGTTGGTTTGGTTGTTAACCATGTCCTCTAACATCATGGCCGAGTCGCTAGTGGGATTATCATTAAGAATACTCTCATCATTACATGGTTGAATGTGCATAAAAACTGTGCATCACGAATTTTTTATTGGGATCGCCCTGAAAAAGTGAGTAAAAATAGTAATTATTACATGTGTAAAAAGATTAACAACTAACTCGCAAGCTTAACAACCAACTCAAAACCTTAACAATCAACTAAAAACACATAAAAATATACTAAGATTAACAACCAACTCTTAATCTTAACAACCAACTCATGACCTCCATAACAAACCCATAAGGTTAACAACCAACTCATAACTATATACTAATGTTGACAATCAACTCAAAACTGTAACATGCAACTCATAACCTCCACGACCAACTCCTAAGGTTAACAACCAACTCATAACTATATACTAAGGTTAACAATCAACTCAAACTGTAATAACCAACTCATAACCTCCACAACCAACTCATAAGACTAACAACTAATTCATAACTATATGCTAATGTTGACAACCAGCTCAAAATAGTAACAACCAACTTATAATCTCCACAACCAACTCATAAGGTTAACAACCTACTCATAACTATCTACTAAGGTCTTACAACCTTAACAACAAACTTATAACTTTAACAACCAATGCAATAGGAAGTTAAAATTGAAATACTTACACATTTCTTGAAGAAGTTAGGGTGTTCTAAGAACTTGAGGATTCCCCAGCGGAGGCATCATATAACTTTATGTTTGTAAATCTGTTACGATGACAATACTCGAACATTAATTTCAAGTCCTTGTCATTTTCAATTGCAAAACTGAACTTCTTTTCCCATTCGGATTTAAATTTCAGCGAAAGAGATTGTAATGGTAGTTTAAGTCTTTTGAACACTTGATACTTCAAGTTAATGATTTCTGTAGATTCATTGATAATTACGAAAACACCCTCACCATCTTCGTTGTTTTTTGTGTTTGTAACCATATATACAAAAGAGGGATTCATCCACCATTTTGAAGAAAAGTAGTTGAAGAATCAAAGATGATTTATGGAGGAGAACTAAATGGTCAGGATGGAGTAGTTGGGGTAAGCAAATAGGATTTATTGGAGGGGAGGAGAGAGAGGTAGAAGATGGCTAGAATTGAGAGGGAAATGAGGTTTTCCCCATCCAAAACCTATTTCTAATCATCATTAATGCCTACAATCCTATCTTCACCGGTGACTAGTTGCTAGAAGGAGTGAGCGAGGGTATTTTGGGAATTGTTTTTTAAACCTGATCACTTGGGAATTGGGTTTGGAGGCTAAAGGCAATTGCATTCTGGGGATGTGGGCTTTGGGGGCTTTGAAAAAGTCTTT